GAGAAGGGTCAATGGGCATGCTCTGAGAGCCGGGATGTGCCGGATGGGGTCTTGGGCCCGTTATCCCTGGGTGAGGAATGTATGGCCTTGCTCATTTCTAGGCTGGAACCATATGAGTTGACTTTGAGTCCAGGCTTCTGCAGAGACAGCCAGTGAGTTTGTTAGTGGGGTCTGAAAGACACCATCACTGATTAGGGGAAACAGCTCTCTGAAGAGCCAGTTTTAAACTCTCTGCTAGTTTTAACCTCATTAACTCTATTGGGTTCATATTCAACTGCCCCCTGAGTTATGATCATTTTTTGAATTTGAGGACTTGGGACGATGACCACTCTGGCTACTTCTTCATCTCCTCAGGGGTAGATTTGGTGTAAAAAGCAATGTTTGTAAATCTTAGCTGCATGCCATGCTGAGCAGAAGTTTTTAACCTTTAGGACAACAGCAGCAAGAGAAATAGAAGCGACATGGAGTCAGACATGCCGAGTGTTTCCCTGCTATAGGATACGATGCAATACTATTTGACCATAACAATGACGTCTTGACATATACTGCGATGGGAATGAACCTTGAAAGCATTATGCTAAGTGAAAGAAGCCCGTCACAAAAGTCCATATTGTAGGGTTTCTTTTATTTGAAATGTTCAGAATAGACAAATCTGTAGTGAGAGAGAATGGATGGGTGGTTGCCTAGGGCTAGGGTGAGGAGGAACAGATAAGGGGAACAATGGGAAGTGGCTGATAATTGGTATCAAGGCTTCTTTGAGGGGGTGATAAACGTGTTCTAACATTGATTGTGGTGATCCTTACACAACACCAGATAGATACTAAAAAGCATTGAATTGCACATTTTAAATGGATCCAATATATGGTTTATGAGTTATGTCCCAATAAAGCTATTTTTTGTGGGGTTTTATTGTTGTTTTTTAAAACAAGGGAGAGAGAGAGAGAGAAAGCAAAACCTAGGCATTAGAGAGATCTAGATTCTGGAGGGAAAGAGAATACCCTGAGTTCAGAACTGGACCACCCAATTGTACAGCCTGTTTCTTTTCAACTCACACAGAGATAGTAGATGTCTCGCTTACTGCTGAACATCACTTGGCAATGCAGCTTGGAAAAATCGCTTCCTTCTCTGACTAGGTTATAGATGCTATGTGAGAAGAAGGCCAAGTAGCTAAGCTCTTTCTCCAGGGCCTTGCTTTTACTGAAGGGGTAGCTTTTGCCGTGTGCTGACTTCACCTGCAACGGTGGTTCTTACCTGGTCCTGTCTGCCTCGTCACAGACCTTCAGTCACTCTTTCAAAATGTGAACTTTAAAAAAAATAATAATAATACAACCTGCCTACATGGTATTTATTCAGTTTTTAAAAATATTTTTTCGAATTTATGAGTGTCATAAAACACAAATGCCTAATCCAATCCAAGCTAACCTTGCCTTTTAATCACAACAAATCTCATTCTCAGGTATACTTTTATTCTTGCTGCAATTTATTGTTTTGGTACTGCTTCAAATTGTAATGGGAAACTCTGTGTAGGCCTTGCTGGTCAAGGTTACCAAAATTCAATGTGCAGGAGGTAAATACTTATTTCACTAGTTTCAGCCAAATAGAATTAATGTAAAGACTCTAAAAGGTGAAGAAGGACATTACAGTCATGTTGTTAGAACCATTGCAAAGAACACAATCTGAAGAAACCCTGGAAAATAAGAATAAGTGTATCCTTATGTCTTTTATGTCCTTTGAAGCCAAAGCAAGATGGTCAAGTTTTTAGCTGCTTCCAGAAGCATCTTCTCTGCCTTTTTCTTTGCGCTCTTCTACATTGCCCTCCAGCCCTCCAGAGCCACGTCACCCAGCCAGAGCCTCCCATCCCCATGACACCTCTGCCAGCTGTCTCTCTTCCCTGAGTCAGAAACCTTCCATCTCTCCATCTTTCCTCCATTTGTCAAAACGGCATGTTTTCCATAAGCATGGCCCATCTTGCTAACACTGCTAGATTGTGGGAAATAACCCCGCTAGAACTAATTTACTCCCGTTTGATCACTAGGTCTCCCCAGGGGTGTTTGCGTGAAAACAAGGGATCCCACAAGCAAGAATCCTTAGCCAAAGAGGGGAATTGATAACAATGGAGCCTGAAGCTCTGAGGCAGGTCTGGGCTAGAGAGATTTATAAATAAAGGAGAAGGAAAAGTCAGCCTTGGGGGTGGTGTGACTGCTCTAAAATTATTTGGAAATTTACCACCAAATTATACATTTCTCTATGACTGTTCATTAACATGCGTCCAGGTGTTTATTTTTTAAGCCATTCCTGCTTAGCCTTACTGTATGCTAGTCACATTTACATAAAGCATCTCTTCAACCAAGTCACAAGAGCCCCGAGAGATGATAAAAATAGACAAGAGTAGAGTGACTTGAACAGACAAGTGGCTTCAGCATAGGTCAACATAGGGTCAGGATTAGCATCCTTTCCTAGAGGAAACGAAAGCAGACCTTTTAATTCAGGAAGGCAGTCCGACAGGGGTTCTTCTGCTCCTGCTTGCTTTCCAGCTTGCATTTCAGAAAGAGCCTGTGAGAGTTTTGAATTATTGTGAGGCATTGATTTCAGAGGGTCAGATGTTGAAGGAGCCCAGGATCCACATCTCGTTCATAGGGATGGTGTCTTGGATATTTATTTGCAAAGCAAGCTGTGTTTACATACCTGGATAACAAATACTAAAGATAGCTTTCTGCTTTCCTCCACCTCATAGATTTTTGCATCAAGATGTTAACAGTGCGAAAAGTCAATAATGTGGAAAATGTTTTCAGTTGCATTTCAGAGATTAGAAAGGAGTTTTTAACTGCTTTTAACCTCTCTCTCATCTCTATCCTCCAATGGGCACCTCCTAAGCAGAGGGAAGATGCAGTCTTATCATCCATTTTCACCCTTTAAAAATTATTTTGTGGGGGCACCTGAGTGGCTCCGTGGTTGAGCATCTGCTTTTGGCTCAGGTCATGATCTTGGGGTCCTGGGATCGAATCCCACATTGGAACCTGCTTCCCCCTCTGCCTGTGTCTCTGCCTCTCTCTGTGTCTCTCATGAATAAATAAATAAAATCTTTTTTAAAAATTATGTTTTATTCTTATTTTGAAAAATCAACACGTGTAACAGTAACATGTAATCATTTTAGACTCTGTTCTTCTGTCTCCCTGTTTGAAATGTGATGTAGAAATAACAGTGAGTTGGTTCTTCTATGACTGTCCCATGAACTGTCCGTGACAGTGACCTTTTTGGGGTTTACTCTCGTAAAGTACAAACTACACTAATTATTTAAAAACTACGGACAATACTGTGCCTTGATTCATCCAACTTGCCCACTTTTTCACTGTTCCACGGGCTCTTTTTTTCCTTTCCTTCTTTTTTTTTCTGACTTTTTTTTTTGTTCAGATACTTATTCAAATCTCTCTGATAAGGAGTTTGATTTGTAGCTAATTGTTGCAACAGATTTTCATTATTTATGAGTGTCATTGTCAGAACCCATTTGGAAGTCTGACCAAGATAAAGCTGATTCCAACTTCTGATATGACCACAGCAATAAAGCAATTAACCACACCAGTTAAAATGTGCTGAGACCTGGAGGCTACTGATATCTTGACAACCAAGTATATACTATATTGTGCATTATGTTTGACTCATTTCCTAGAAGATCCCACATGTTATTATTTTATCACAAATTATTTATGGCACCCTCTTTTTTAAGAATATAACGTATGTTATTTCTCACACCAGCCAATTACGTTTAAAATGTTCGTAGATTGAAGAGATAGAAGTAGGAAAATGAAAACTGTGAGTGATATAAATGCTTCATATTCTTAAAAGTTGATATTATGGCAGCATTTAAATCAGTCTTTGTGTACGGTTATTCTTTACATGTATTTTAATTCTGGTCGGTACCTAAATCTCAGACTCTATCATGCCAGCAAGCGACAAGAAATGGAAGAGCCAATATGTCTGCATCCTACAAGCAAACAGATTTCTCTCTCTTCTCATCTATAGTATCCTAAAACATGTGAAATTTCAAGAGTAGGCACATGACTGGCAAACTCATTAATAAGAGCAGTCATTTTAAAGTGTCACCTAATTTAAACATTTTTGCTTGAAGTTATTGCCATGCCATGAGTTTTATTATGCTCGATTTATTAGTAAAGACCTGCAGGGTTCACAGGCATTTATTTTTCAGGGAACTTGATTTTCAGGGAACTTGATTATCATTAATTTTTAAATACATATTACTCCCGCTTTATTTTCAGAGTGAGCTTTATTTGCAAAAATTGGTTTACTCTGATCAATATAGATGTTTCTAGGTGTTTATTAAAGCAGAATGTCTAGAAAGTCAGAGATCTGCAAATTTTCCAGACGTTACACTCCAAGACATAGTGAACGTATGCACACACACACACACACACACACACACACACACGTTTACACTGGTTGCTAACTTGAGGTGGGCAGATGTAATAAGAACTGACCAAACCCCTACATACGCATAACTTACTCTCTCTTGTCTTCCAAAGAAGTGACATCTGGGTGGGAAAAATCCCATCATTTAAGACTAGAGTCAAGACATGGGAAAGAACTCTGACAGTTTCCATTGCTTCCCAAGTCGCCAAACAAAATCTCATCCCTGATGACGAGTCCTTTCTCTGGGTTGATTTGTCATAGCCTGTGCTCCTCGGCTTGCCCCTCTCTCTGGAGGTGCTTATGGGCTCAAGTGGTTGACAGAGGGGCTCTAAGCGGGGTGTGTGGGAAGTCAGTGGGGGAGCCCCACCCACCCTCCCCTCTGGCACCCACTCGACCCTATGCCATGCAGTGCCCGTGTAAACATCTGGTGCTGCTACCTGGGAAACTGGAATGCTTGTGTGTTTTTGTTTCTGTTTTTGCTTTTTTTTTTTTTTAGGGAGATTTCTTTGAAAACAAAACACAAGAAAACTGAAACATATACTCACTAGTTGTTATCTCTTTTTCCCCCTAATTAGGACAGAATTTTACCCTAAGGCAGTTAGGAGTTTGTGAACCAGCAACTCGAAGAGGACTGGCATTTTGTGCGGAAATGGGGCTCCCCCACAGAGGTTATTCTATCAGTGCAGGGTCCGATGCTGATACTGAAAATGAAGCAGTGATGTCCCCAGAGCACGCCATGAGACTTTGGGGCAGGGGGGTCAAATCAGGCCGCAGCTCCTGCCTTTCAAGTCGGTCCAACTCAGCCCTCACGCTGACAGATACGGAGCATGAAAACAAGTCGGACAGTGAGAACGGTAAGTGCCATTTTTTGCTCTATAATGTTGGCCTTCAGTGCTTCTGTTTTAGTTGACTGTGGGGGCATGCTTCTCTTCCTTTCTTCTTTCTTCCCACTCTTCCTTCTCTGACTTTCTTCCAGCTTCCTTTGTTTTCATTTGAATGCAAAGGAATTCAAGAAATGTCCTTGAATAATTCATTTTTTTCCTGGAAAAAAAATCAATATTCGACATCAGATTGTTAAATTCTGCAAGCAGTCTATGATGTGTTGGCTATAGTTTTGAAAAACAGTTTAATTATGTACAGGAAAAAAAAAAAAAGATCAGCTTCGACTTATCTTGGACCATGTCACCTGTTATCCTCTGTGGAGTAGCCAAGCAAGTGGTGATAAGGTTTACCCCAGAGCCAGCTTGTAATCAAAGATGTCTTTGTAGATTCCTCTTGAAGATATCTCAAAGAAGTTGTGGAATCTTAGAATGGATGAGTGAGCACCCAGAATAGTTTATGAACAGGGCTCAAGTGATTGAAGAACAAATTTGATCGTGCTTTAAACTTACTAGTTGATGAGAGCAAATGAAATTTTGGTAAACAGGGAGAGTATGGTTTTCGATGTGCTTTGGGGACTGCATTATTATGCAATTAAGTCTACACACAAAAAATTGGATTTTAGGATATCCAAACAGCAGCATTACATATTGTAAGAAAGGGATCTTTATAAATTATTGGGACTCTTTTCTTATAGCTAATGCAGGACCATAAAAATAGTTCATTTATATGCAATAATAGATTTAAAAGGAAACTTAATTTTTAGTCGGTATTGCTTCAAAGAAGAATTGGAGCATCAGTGCCAACATACCAGACAACAAAGGGACATTTCTCCTTCACATTTAATAGTAACATTGCACTTGCTACTTCAATCTAGTTATTGATGCTATGTGTATGTGATGCATCAAGAAGCAAGGAGAAAATTAAAATAGAAGAATTGCATGACATTTGAAAAGAAAGATGGTTGTTTTACCAACAGTATTTCATTTGTATTATTTATTGACCAACTTTGTCAGCTTTGCTTTGCAATACGAAAGCAGATCTATTCAGCTTTCAATTTTAGCTAAGTCACAGTATGAAGTGGTACCTCTATCGCTTCCTGCTATTATTACCCATTTCCTTCCTACTCCTGAAAAAAAAAAAAAAAGTCTGATTTAAACCAACCAAAACAGTGTCTTTCCTTATGTAGAATGTTAGTGCATTAAAACAATCAAGATCAATGGCTAATATGCACTCGATGTATTCATTTTGGTAGTGTCAGTTCTGGGTGGAGACTGGGTTTATTCCAACCCCAAACAGGAAACAAATTCTTTCTGACAAAATGAGTCCTCGAATCAGACTGCCAGCATTTCCCTGAGCTAATCCATCCACCTCAATAAAACCTGTATTTATATCAGTTTTCATTGTGAATTCAGAAGGTTCTAGCCTTAAATGCATAAAATTTGGTATCAACTTTGTTTTCTGTCTATCCAAATCTTCAGGTATGAATGTTATATTCAAATGTAGCACTCGGTATTTCATTTCCCTAAAATACATGATAAAATTTATGGTAGTTATAGAAAAGAGTAGAACGCAGCAAGATAATGCATCCAGTTCTGATTATCTGCATCAGATCCACACTCGTATCCATTAAATATTTTCTCAATCAGGTCAGCATGTTCTTTCTACCCACACCCTCTATAGCATCTCTTTCTCCTCTGTAATAACAAATGTGTCCTGTGATTGCATCTGTAGTGGTAAAACATAAATTAATTTAATGATTTTTTAAATTGTGTATCTGCTAAAGCTATCTCACAGTGAATGCCCAAACACACACCATTTATTTTTTCTTTTAGGAAAATCTAAAACTTACCGAATTGTTAACTTATAGTCAACAGCATAAAATATCCAACTGGTAGGGAGGAGGAAAGGAAAACTGAATGTCTCCCACCACTGGCCCTCACCATTTGCATAGATTCTTGTTACCTGAAGAAGGACCTTGCCTCCCCCAGGACCTCATAGACCTTGGTCATGGAGTGATGTCAAGGCAAGAAAAGGCATACTCTTTCTTTTCTCCAGATGGTGGTTATAAAGCAGAATGAACAGAGATAGGAAGAGGGTGTCAAGGGCCTTGCCTTGAAATTCAGAACATTTGGTAGCATTTGTTGAGAGTAAACAGGTCAGCCAAGTTAAGAGTATAAAGTGTCAAAAACAATGTTTGTTGAGCTGGGCAAGTGATGACTTAAACTTGTGTTTACTCTTTTCCCCAAGGTTTGGCTGTGGTTGTTTTTAAAAAAAAAAAAAAAATTTTTTTTTTTTTTTGATGGTCCAAGAACTCCCAATGAGGTCAGCTAAGGGAAGAAAGCAAGAGACGAAATAAAATAAATATGGCTTCTTAATGAGCACTGGCTACCGCATAGTTATAATATCTACCTCCATAGGAACAAATTCAGATTAGTTTATTTGTCCTGAATTTTCAGTGATTAGTCAGAAAGAGCAAGAGTCCACTGAAAGTAAATAATTGCATTAAGAGGTGGGAAAGGATAATTTTCTGAGATATTTAGCAGACCTTTTGAATTGTGGAATGAGATAAGAATATTGAGGATTTTTTTTCTGATAAAAAAAACTATGGTTTTTCTTAAGCTAAGTTATAGGAAAAACTAAAACTTATAATCCTACATATGGTCTTCTAACATATTTCTAAGCAATAGCCTCAAAATTATTACATATTTTTACCATTACTACTTCTAGTCAAATATTTCTCATCTAAAATTACTGAAATAATTCAATCCTATCCTCAGTTATTTTTCATTGCTCTAAGTTTGGAAGACCATTGATTTTCCAGTGATATTTTCCTTTGCCTTTCATTATTTTAACTGTCCAATATCATTCATTGTTGTACTAGGTTCAGATGAGTCTTTGGAAGTTCTATTATAACCCTCTAGGTCGAAACAAGAAGGACATGTGTGAAATAACTCACCAAAATGAAACTAATTTAGGAACCAGACACTGACTTGTTTTCATCCGGTTTAGAATGGGAGTTCTCGTTGACTGTTTTCATCATTTGAAATAACTGTGGATAAGGCTGTTTTCCCCAGGAAAAAAAAAAAAAAAACTTATTCAACATTTGTAAAATTATGCAAGCCGAGTGCCTGATGTTCTAGTTATAACTTCAAAGAAGAGTTTAGTCACTAAAAGGGATTAGGTTTCATTTATTTATTGATAAAGAGGCCAACAGTTCAAGTTTAGAAGGCGCTAGCACTGCTGTGAGGCTAATGAAATTTTGATGGCCCTAGCATCCCGCAAGAGTAAAAGAACATTCGGACCATGTCACACGTCTGCGTGTTAGCAGAGATGCAAAACAAGTGATAAAATTTATCCTTTTGCAAAACTAACTCTTCACCAACCATGGGGATTTGAAGTTACAAAGCATTTTGAGGCAAAAAAAAAAAAAAAAAGAAAGAAAGAAATTGCCAGTATATTGAGTTTCGTATGGGATCCCAAATGTTGGTTGTGGTCCGAATTAGGGATCTGGAATCTGGGAGGAGTCCCTTCTTGACACAAGGCTTGCTGCGGTCGCCTTCATCAGGCTAGTCAGCTGCCAGGCTCCAGGGCAGATGCTGGAGGGGTTTGTGGCCACCTAGTGAGCCGCAGTTCTGGTAAACTGTTGTGAGGTTGCCAGATGAACTGATGAGCGGCCCTAATCAAAGGTAGAATTACCAGTGTGCTCTGGATTGTTTTAAGGGTCTTTCCTGTCTCTGACGTATGGGGTAAAAGACCCCTGGCTGAATTTCCGCTCTGCAGCTTTGCAAGTAATCTGATCTCGGTTCCAAGTGTCTATTTAAATGTCAGAAACAAAGGACTTTTCTTTTCGAGACATCAACCTTGAAGCCTTAACAATGTTTATGCATCTTTTTCCAGAAGAAGCCATAACGCAGACCATCCTTTGTCATGCAGCGCTGTGGCATCATGACAGGTGCCTGCTGTAGAATCACACTGATGGGGTGTAGGTCTTTCATTCACCTGCTGAAGCTGTTTGCTCTCGAATCACCCAATCACCCAGAGCTCGAGTTCCCAACTTTTCCCTCTTCCTGCTACTCTTGGACAGGTGGGCAGCATCCCAGAGGTGGGATGCTCCTCTGCAGAAGGTCCCCATCTTGTCCCTGTCCCTGTCTCCACAATCTCTTAGGCCTGTTCCCAAGCCATGACCTTTTTTTTTTAATTTTTTAATTTTTTAATTTTAATTTTATTTTTTTTTTAAGCCGTGACCTTTGAAGTGAGACAGACCAGGAGGAGCTAGCCCTCCTCTTCTGCCTCACTGGGATTCCAGACCCCAATAGTCCCCACTGGGAGGAGTGGTTGAGAACATGGTGTAGGGGGCAGGTCACCTGGCTTTGATTGGGCCCCACCATCTCCAAGCTGTGTGACGTTGGGCAAGTTACTTAACCTTCCTGTGCTGCAATTTGCACAAGGGTAACATAGAGAAAAAATAAATACTATACAGCCCTCATAGGGTCGTTGTGAGGATTAAATGGGTTCGGATCTATGATGTGCTTAGAACAGTGCCTGGCACCTAGTGAGTTCCAAATAAGTGTGTGCTCTTATCATCTGTAAAGAGCAGAAAATTATATCTCCTTTGTAAGTGACGATGAAGATTAAGTCAAACAGTATCAAGTACCTACATAGTTTTGGCCCACGGCAGATCTCCCCTCCTCCCCACCCCACCACCCCTTTTTACTCTCCCTCTGTCTGCTGTTAGTTTTGTACATGTGGCAAGATGAGAGAGAGCTAGTGATCTCCAGAAAAGGCACTGATGATTTGCATAGTCTGGAATTTCTGTCACCATTTATTGACTCTTTTATTTTTCTCCCAAACCCCACATCCTTTTTAATTTACTGTAATTAAATGAATGTACATTGAATGGTGCTGATAATTAGTCTGATGGCTGTAGACTTCAAAGACTTTAGAATGCTCCTTCCCCTCCTGGCCAAAGGAAATTTCAAAAGTAGTGTTTCCCTCAAAGGCATGTTACTTAGACAGCCAGTCAATTAAAAGGCAATTTAACTGATGCTCATCAGTTCACACGATAAAATAAATCATTCCTGGAAGACTTTATTTCTCACCTGGGGTCTTAGCAATATACCTGTGTAGGACCTCACTAATGCCACACTAATTGTGCATGATACTAAACTATTAAGGGCTAATTTGGCTGACAAAGAGGGTATAACAGTAAAGGGCAATATTTTGAGGTATAATACATACTTGCTTTGTACGGCTAAAGCATTTCAAGGAACCAATTTACTTGTCCTTTGAAATACTGTTTTAAAAGTCTACTTTCTATATAGCTAGCTGAAGTCAAAAAGTTGAGTCATGAGACTTTAAAAGGACAAAGGCATGCTTCTTAAACCAATCTGACGAACTATTGCAGTGATAATATTTAAAACCCATCTCTCAAAAAAATAAAAAATAAAAAAAAAACTAAAAAACTAAAAAAATAAAACCCATCTCTCAACAGAAAGCTTGTAGCTATTTTGCAATCCAAATTACCTGGCCAAGTAGAATCTGTTCTCAAAGAACGAGCAGGGCACCTTCTTCTGTCTCTGAGAGACTGCTTATAGGTGACAGGGGAAATGGAAGAACTTGGAGCTCTTCTATTAGCAATTAAATTCTAGAGTAGTCTGGGAGAAACTCTTTGGTGGCGTTGGAGTATCCCATATGTCACGTAGTTGGGATGCTCTCTACAACGACACGGATGTCATTTCTCTTCTGACTCTTTTCACAAAGGGCATATTTGAGTTTTCTGAAGATAATGTGAAGGGAGGTGTAGTAGTTCACCTCTCTCCATTCTGTTACTTCAACTTCATCCATGAGCCTTCCAGCCTCCTTTGGAAATTGATTGTAAGAATGAAGATGGAATTCTGTTGCTGTAAGAAATTAATGATATGTCAGTGTTTTCTCTAATTTTATGAGATTCTATTGCACATACTAAACTATAACATGTATATAAATTCCATTATGAACTCTCTTCTGGCATGTAACGGTCACTTCCGGCATGCTCTACCATTGTAAATTATATTTTATGTCTCAGGTGCTCTGGGATGTGAAAACCAGCAAAAGCAATATGTCTTTTTTGCTTACTAAATTGAGCTCAGAATTAGAGTGCTGCTTTGCAGAATACCGTCAAATAGTTTCAAATATATAAAAATAATTACGTTGCCTTGTTCTGTAAACATTTATGGCTTAATAGCAACTTGCCATTCTCTTAACGAAGCTTTCATGTGTCATTTAAGAATGAAATATTTATTTCATGGATATGTTACAAGCCACTCAAGCACAGTAAGCTATGATTTAAATTAGCTTTTTAAAAAAATTTAGCATGATGAAACTAGAATTAAGACTACGAAGTCCACTGCCTTTGTTGTGATCACTTAAGTATTTCTATACATTTGTATTTCCCATCCTAAGAGGATTTTTGGAACTTCTTGGTAGGTTGCTACTCTTCACATGAATATTACCATTTCTAAAAAATTCAAGTTGTATTCTAAGTATTTCTGTTCAAAGTATATGGAGTATGGAGTATATGCTATCTCTCTTTATATTCTAAACATTCTCTTAATGGTAGAGTTGAAATCAAAGTAAAGCATACCATGCACATATCAAAACTGATGATGTATGCTATTTTGATTTTTGAATGTGTTTTTGAAATCCTTGAAAAATTACAGTGGTAGCAATAAAATTGTTTTAATTAATGAATTGAACAGCAACGAATGCTGAATCAGGTTTATCGATGTAATTATCACTGAAATAGAAAAATTAAGTGTTAGAGCCATAGAACCTAAGTGTATTTGCCATTCTGGGGGTATTCAAGTGGAGAGAAGCTAACAGGGTTTTTTTGGTTTGGTTTCTTTCTTTTTTTTTTTTTTTTTGGTGCTATTTAAAGGATATTCTTCTCAAGTCATAATAATTCTGTTTATTAACAAGATACATGCATACAAGTATAAATGTGAAAACCTTATACATTATTTACTGAGTAGTTTGAATGATGGTTTACTGTATTGAAAGTTTTTATATTTATCAGTGGATTTGGGATAATTTTCCATAGTGAATAGACTGTACATAAACCAAATGTAAAACCTTTCTTAAGTGCAGATGAAAATTCATACAAACGCATACACACTTGAAAAAAGGGCAATGAAAACACCTTATGAGTCGTACCTTGACTTTAAATATCATCACAGAGAAACTGAAAAGCGAATAAAGTTTAGATGTGACTTTTTGAATTGATTTCTTATTTAGTATATCAGCTACATCTTCATTCAATGAAGAATACATGCTGGGTATCATACCAGATGCTGGAAAAATAAAAATGAGTGCGATGTAGCCCCTGACTTCTAGAGATTCATCGGCTAGCTAGGCAAACGGGTCAGTAGAGTCTGTAATTGGATTTTAATGTGGTAAATGATATTACAGCACAATATGCGAAGTCCGTTGTCAGCACAGAGCAGATTGTGGCCAACAGAGACTGGGGGCAGCAGAGGAGAGGATGTTTCATAAAGGAAGAGGGACGTAGCATTGGAACTTAAAGGACTTCTGGAAATTCAAGATGTAGACAAAGCAGCAAAGGAGAAAGTGTAAAGTCTTCTGAGAACCATGAGCTGTTTGGTACCTGGAACACAGGATGTGGGTAGGGGAGTGATGATTTGAGGCAGTATAAGCAACTTTGCAAACCATATTGCAAAGGGCCACATGGCCATGCTAAGAAACCTGTATTCTTTCCTGTAGGTAATGGAGAGGCTCTGAAGGATTTTCATGCAGAGTAATATTGCAGTCCTATTTACATTTTACAGAACATTCTGAAAGCAGTATGGAATGTGGACTGTCTTTCCCACGGTAGGCTCTCTAGGGGCATGGCCCTGTTCACCATTGTATCTCTGTGCTCACCTCACCCAGTGTCTGAACCTGGAGCTATGGTGTTTGCTGAGCAAAGACACCGTGGACTTGTAGGTCAAACTCGAAAGCAAATCAGCCAACCAGATAGTACTATGGTTAACGTGTGAGAAAATATAAGTTTAAGCCGAGAGCTGGGGAGAAGAAGATGGATTCAGATAGAAAGAAACAAGAGTTAGTGATTTATTCATTGCATTGGGGTTAGGGAAGAGAAAGACATTTTTTTTAAAGATTGTATTTATTTATTCATGATAGACACACGGGGGGCGGGGGAGGTGCGGGTTGCAGAGACATAGGCAGAGGGAGAAGCAGGCTCCATGCCTGGAGCCTGACGTGGGACTCGATCCCGAGATTCCAGGACCACACCTCAGGCCAAAGGCATGTGCTGAACCACTGAGCCACCCAGGGATTCCCATAAGAGAAAGACATTTTAAAAGAACCTCTAAACATGGAAGAATGTTATAATCTAGGTGATGACGTAGTTCAAGTTGGAGGTTTGTGGTAGAGTTAGTAAATCCGCCAAGAACAGGTTGTATTTAAGGTGTTTGGGGAACATCAAAGTTCAATAATCTATTAAGCAATTATATAGAGATAAAAAAAATTAAATAGATTTTGTTGAAAAACATTTACTATATGCTCTGTATGATTGTAGTTAAAGCCGTCGGGTGGAATTAAATAAAACTCTCCCCAAAAGCAAATAGGATGAGTAGTCAAAAAGAGGACTGAGGTAAAATCCCGAGTTCACCAATATTTAATATGAGGGTGTAAAATAAGTCCAATGGAAGAAACAAAGGGGACCCTTCCTTAGAAACAAAAGGAAAATCAGCAATATCAGTTCACAGGAGACAAGAGAGATAGGTCAGAGGAAGCAGAGTCTAAACTTCCAAAAGTCTAGTAAGTTAAATGCAAAGATACTTCCTGGATTGCACAGGAAGTTGTTCATTTCTGTCTGAGGGGCATGGTGGTCAATGCTGTGGGTGGAGAGATGAACAAAAAACTCAAAAACATGGCACCAGCAAGTGTAGATTATTCCTTCCAAAGCTCAACTAAGACAGGAGGGAGGTAGGCTGATAACTCCTAAGACCTATAGGGGCAGGGAGGGGTATTTTTTTTTTTATTGGAGGACATTTCAGCATCTTTATAAGGAAAAGGAAGGAGCCATCCAGGAAATAGAAAGAGAAAGGAGAGGAGATTAGGGGATATTAATAGTCTGTAACTTTTAATCCCCCCAACCTTTTATCTTTTGAGGTACTTTTCATCTTACAAATTTGTGCACATAATAATTTCAGTGTTTGTTATAGAAAAGCTATAATTTAAAAAGGTAAGATTCTATCTGTATTCATTGAAATCATAGCAAACAGTAAATCAATGTAGTTGATGATATCTGATAGAATTGAAATTCCATGTCATCACAAGATTTGGGGTAAAGTACATTCTTATTCAAAATTGGTATTTTATTTCAAAATAGTCCTATAAAACTGTAGAAGAAAAAAACCCAAACTCCCACATCCAGAGTCCTATGGAAAATAGGGAGTTACTGAATTTGGAGTGTGTCTAACAGGATTGTTCTCAGTGGTCCTCCAGATACGTGGGTAACTTCTTTCTTTTCCCTATCCCTTCCTTTGCTAAAAAACAAAATGCATATTTATAAATGTAAAATTATATAACTAGATTTGATTATTAATGAATAATATCAAGGCCTTATCAAACATCAATTTTAAATAAACCACAAAGGGGGCCAAATAACCATATCACAAGTAATATGTCCAAGAGAAATAGAAATATGCTATTAGGGATGCCTGGTGGCTCAGCGGTTGAGTGTCTGCTTTTGGCCCAGGTGTGATCCCAGGTCCTGGGATTGAGTCCTGCATCGGGCTCCCCATAGAGAGCCTGTTTCTCCCTCTGCTTGTGTCTCTGCCTCTTGCTCTGTGTCTCTCATGAATAAATAAATAAGGTCTTTAAAAAAAATGAAATTTGCTATTAAAAGCCAGAGTGAAGGGCACCTGGGTGGCTCAGTCGGTTTAGCATCTGCCTTCAGCTCAGGTCATGACCTCATGGTCCTGGAATTGAGCCCCACATCGGGTTCCCTGCTCAGCGAGGAGTTTGCTTCTTCCTCTCCCTCTGTTCATCTCCCTGCTTGTGCCTCTCTCACTCTCTCAAATAAATAAATAAAATATTAAAAAAAAAAAGCCAGAGTGGTAGTTGTTACCTACATATTGCATTTTGGAAAATGTGACTCTGTGAAATGATTATTCAGACTAAACTGAATAATTGGGATCCCTGGGTGGCGCAGCGGTTTAGCGCCTGTCTTTGGCCCAGGGCGTGATCCTGGAGACCCGGGATCGAATCCCACATCGGGCTCCCGGTGCATGGAGCCTGCTTCTCCCTCTGCCTAGGTCTCTGCCTCTCTCTCTCTCATTCTGTGTGACTATCATAAATAAATAAAAATTTAAAAAAATTAAAAAAAATAAAATAAACTGAATAATTGATTTGCCTTTAATTGGTTAATATCAAGTAATCAGTAGGGGGATCCCTGGGTGGCGCAGCGGTTTGGCGCCTGCCTTTGGCCCGGGGCGCGATCCTGGAGACCCGGGATCGGGTCCCGCGTCGGGCTCCCGGTGCATGGAGCCTGCTTCTCCCTCTGCCTGTGTCTCTGCCTCTCTCTCTCTCTCTCTGTGACTATCATAAATAAATAAAAATTTAAAAAAAATTAAAAAAAAAAAGTAATCAGTAGGAAATAGCCTTGCCCTTCCAACTGGTTTTTATAGGGGTGTTAAAGTTCACAAAGAGAGATCTTAAATTTTTGACATACAGCAGCTGGAGATTCCTAGGGGATTTGAAAGTGCTTGAATGAAATGTCAGTTGCTGCAGAAAACAAGTAGAAAACATTCCCCTATAATGGACTGTGTCTCATTTACTGGGACTGAAGTATCACCGTATGGATTGTAGGGTTACAAAATGGGCGTATAGGTGTTTATTCCTTGTTTAAATGAACCTATATAAAAAGTTTAAGCCTTCAGATGATCATCAGAATGTGTTAAGCATTCAATCATTGTTTACACTGTACTGTCTCAATGACCTAAGTAAAATTGATAGGTTCTGACAGATGTGATAAAAATAGAACTTTAGATCAAAGAAGGTATAAAATACTGTGAGTGTTTATATTCATGCCCTTAATGTATCTATTTTAATTGCTCAGCATTACATGTTCGTTGGTTAATCCAGAGAAGCATATAGATAGTATTCACTGGTTTCTATTTTGGCATTTACACTTCTATTCTTTCCTGTGTGTTTATTTTTTAAAAAATTAAAATTGCAATTTATGTTTTGACCTAAGCTTCCCCATGTTATCAAACACTCCTCTACATCATACTATTTTTCCATGCTGTGCCTTATCATAATTTGTTTGACATATCCACCACTTTTGGACATGTAGGTTGTTTGCATTTTGACTATCATAAATTGTGTTGTAGTAACTATCCTGGTAGCTAAATCCTTGCCCCTAATTCTATTATTACTTTAGGATAAGTCCTTGGAAGTGAAACGTCAGAGCCAAAGGGTACGTACAATTTAAAGCTTTTGATATACCCTGTCAAAGTGCCCTGCAAAAAAAAAAAAAAAAAAAAAAAAACTTGTATCAATTTACATTCCCACCAGCAGTACAAAAAAGTGTCTTTTTCCACAAGCCATTGACAGCAAATGCTGCCGAGCTTTAAAATTTTGGCAACTTGATGGATAAAACATAATATCTTACTGTTGTAATTTATATTCATGTGATTGATAGGCTGAATATATTTTCATGTATGTGTGTGTACGGTTCAGTTCGTGTTTCTTTTGTGAATTGCCAACTTATGTCCTTTGTCCATCATTCTATTAGAATAAGTGAAGAAATGGGTATTCTGGGACATAAGAAAAATTGGAATTCAAGTACACTAGGGCACTGACACTGCTTTTTCCCCTTGTATGCATGTTGCTTTGATGAGACAGGTTTGGGCGTAGGAGGACCTGATATATATAATCACCTCCTTAAATGCAAACCTTCTGCTTGTAGACATACTTATAAGCTGCATGATAATGATGAATAGAGATGCCAACTTCATGTGTTGAATGTAAGGTCCCCAGTCTAGCAGGACACTGCCTGCCTTAAGTAGCTGCTCACTCTTTATTAGAGATGCTGGGTGCCAAGAAAATCTGCATCTGCTCCAGCTCAGAGTAGCAGATTCATTTCTACCAAGTCTCTGCCTCCTATTAAATAAATTAAAAACTTAAAGTGATGCTAGCAGTAGGAGGTAAATCTCCTTTTATCAATCCTCAGCCTGATGGAAAAGATGCACAAGATATATATATAGGTACCATATATTTTTTTGTCTTGAATATATTTTCATATAACAAAAATCTTAACAATTCTTTGTCTCTTTTGAAATATTTAGACCTCAATCTTTTGCAAATATTTTCCTTTGATTTTAAGATATTATTTATATAAAGATTCTTTTAAGACACCTTTTAAACTATCTTATTTACTTGTGCCCTTTTTATATGCTTCGAAATGTTTACTTTATCCCTAGAGCAAATTATCATTTGTATTTTCTTCTTTTCAAAAATATTTTTATTTTTATTTACATTTAATCTGCCAAAA